TTGATGTTTATGGTAAGAGAGAATTACGTTACAGCTAAATCAGATTTCCACTCCCCTGTATAAACATAATATGCAGCATTACCATTTCCTTTCTTAAAACTACTCCCATAAAAGGCACATATATCTTAACTAGTGTACATTTCCCCATCTACATTTAAAAAAAATAAAAAAATCCACAAACCTTGCTTGGGGATGCCTGGAGTTACAGGAGAGTTAAGATCATAAAAAGAGCCCTGCTGGATCAGACGAGTGATCCATCTAGTCCAGCATCCTGTCTCGCACAGTTGCCAACCAGTTCCTTTACAGGGCCAGCAACAGGGCACAGAGGCTGAAACCTTCCCCTGATGTTACCTCCTGGTACTGGGATACAGAGGCTGATTGCCTTTGAACAGGGACCAGCCTACCTAAGGGACCCCCTGTACCCACCATGTCTTGTAGCCACTCATAGACCTATCCTCCATGAATCTATCTAATCCCCTTGTAAAGCTGTCTGTTCTGGTGGCCATCACTGCATCCCCTGACAGTAAATTCCACATTTTAATCACTCTCTGCGTGAAGAATTTCCTTTTGTTGATGCTATTCTGGTGCTTTTCTTTATACGTCAAGCGTGCTTTTGTGTACAAACTTCAATTCAGAACTGTGCTCTGGGAGAAGAAAATTAATAACCAAAAAGAGATTCTTAAAAAAAAAAAAAAAGTGTGAACGTTGACTGTATTTACGAAGCTGAAATATGGCTCAGTCTCAAAGGCGTGGCCTCAGCCTTTCACAACAAAGGTGGGAATTTTGGTCCTTTATAAATGGTTGGAGATGGCTGCAGTACATGATATAGTCGCTCAATTTTTGTTTAAACATATCCCAGAAATCAGTACAGTCCTTCCTCAGGGCCACATAGTCCTCTGAAGTGCCCAGACCCTGGGTCATACTACCAAAAAGAGAGAGAATTGGAATTTTAATTCCTGGTGGCAGCAGAAAACTACCGAGTTTATATACACAGAAAACTACCGAGTTTATATATATAAAGGAAAAACAGTCTCACCAAATAGCAAGGACGTCACAACATCTTTGGGATTCTAACACAAGGTGATGGGCGCAACTCACAATTTTTTAAGCATCTGGCTCACACATTTTTGTCTTAGATCAGGAAGGGTGGCTCCAGAGCAAACTAATTTAGGCAGCAGCCAAATCGCTCGCTCACAACTTTAAATGCCAGTGGCTCACAAAGTAGAATTTTTGCTCACAGGACTCCACAGCTTAGAGGGGCCACTGATCCTAAGTATTTTCCAGAACACAAACATTTCCAGTAATACTGTCAGCTGGATTTCTAAAACTCTGTAATAGCTCGCTGTCATCAGCATGTAAGCATTCCAAGCAACGGTGTACTTGGTAAGTTTTACAGAAAATAAAAGACAGTGTGTTCTCAACCTTTTGTACCAAGAACCTCTTGTTTTGACAAATCAGATTGACGGTCTTGTCAAATTTTAAAATGGCAAACACTGTCACTGTTCTATTTAATATGTACATATTGAATGTGTCATTTTCATTTTATTACCCAAAACAGCCAAGCCCTTGACACAACATGAAAAAAATACTTTCTGAAAGGTTTAAGAGTTTAGAAAGGTGCTAAATCTAATTTTCTAAGACATTTGGGGGGGGGTGAGTTGCAAAAGGCTACAGATACATGCAGAGGAGATGGCTCATGTAATTTTTTGTGCTTACAAGTGATGGTTTATTGAAATCCTAGAATGTAGAAAACTTTCTGCACTGATGTGGCTTTTCTTTGCGTTCCGCTCATGGAGAGCCAACAGAGCTGGACCAATAAACCAGAAGCATTTTCTGAGAATTTTCATTACTTGCTACCCGTACCAAGTTCAATTTAACTACAAGAACCAGAGGCTTACTATGCCACCAAAAGGCCCACATCTAATGATTCACATGGGAGTATGTTTATTCCTCTTTCAATGTGGAAATATTTTGATTCTGATTATTCAGAGGTCTTTTGCATCACCTACTACCTGATCCTTTGAATTGGGGATGGCAGGGATTGAACCTGGGACCTTCTGCATGCCAAGAAGATGCTCTACCATTGAACTACAGTATGTGCAGAATGTTTATTAGTAATTTTCAACCACACTATTTTATCCTCCCATGACATACACCTTAGATTACTCCACTGCTCTACAAGCTCTTCAGCCTCTGTTTGGAACTATCTGCTGGAGCAAAAATGGTACTCTATGGTGTTCCATTAGCCAAGAGGAATGGATGTTGTTTTGAACATGACAAAAATTGGGAAGGTGTTGCCACATACTAGCCCGTTACCTGTATAAAGTGTTCAGTGGCCCGGTATTAAGAAATGGGAGGGAATTCTAGAAATAAACCCAAATGAATGGGGTGGGGTGAGAGAACTTACCAATACCAAACTGAGGCCTAGGCCTCTGTTGCCAGTGACGTCACTTCCAGCGTGCACCAGAACTGATGTCATCACGTTGCTGGTGATGTGGGAATGCTCTGGGATTTGGGCAAAAACTCTGCAGTAAAAGCTGTTTTTACCATACAGTTTTCCCCAAACACCAGAGCATCCCCATGTCTCTTACATGATGATGTCATTTCTGGTGTGTGTCAGAAGTGACAGCACCGGCAACAGAGACCTAGGCCTCAGTTTGCTGCCAGTAAGTCCCCCCGCTGGCCAGCTGATCGACACCAGGGGGAATGGCCCCAGAGTGGGGGATCCCCTGCCCCCAAGTGGGGGTCTGTGAACCTTACCAATGAGGAATCCAAAATCCTAGGGGAAGTTGGAAGCACCACAGCACAGAACCACTCACTTTAAGCAACAGATGAATCCTAAAATTTCGTTTTGCATTTATCATCTTTTCAGTCCCTACCCCCAAAGCAAAAGACTCCAAACCAGCTAAAAAGGAGGCACAGTTCTACTCCATTTCTACTCCATTTACAACAAGCTATATCCCTGTTACAAGTACATGTGTCACTTTCTTTAAACTCTAGGTAATTAAGCAAACAAATAGAATAAGTAACTAAGAAATGTTTGCTTACCTGAGTTTCAATACACAATTTGTAGCATTAAAAGCAACACATGAACCCTTAAAGAAAACACAGAACTTATTTTTCGTGGAGATTTTGGCAGGATGAAAGAAATGCATTTCAGAAAGGAAAATATAAAAATTCTGTTAAAAAATAAGTTGTATGTTTAACTCCTGGTCAAACACTGTTGCCGAAGGGCTATTCTGAGAACGGGATGTAGGATGGTGGGCCCAGGAAGCTCCCAATTATCCAGAATGAGCCACCATCAAATACAATATATAATTCCAGCAAATTACAATACTCCTGACTCTGCCATCCTAAGTGAATGGATATTTAGGACCAATGCTCCCTATAAGCTGTGGAGTTTTGTGAACCAAAATTCTATTTTGTAAGCTACTGTCATTAAAGTTGTGAGCGAGCAATTTGGCCACTGCATAAATTAGTTTGCTCTGGAGCCATCCTTCCTGAGCGAAGACAAAAATCTGTGAGCTGGAGGCTAAAAAACTGTGAGCTAGCTCACACTAACTCAGCTTAGAGGGAACACTGTTTAGGACACAATCTAGCTAAAATTAAGCAACTAACAGTGTGTTCCTAAACAGAGTTGATCCCTTCTAAATCCACAGAAGTCCTTAGACTTTGAAAGGTCTAACTCTGCTTAGGGTGCTGGTACAAATTGTACTGATCTTCAAATGGAGAACAGGCTAAATTCTCCAACCTAGAAGTTTCTGTGGGACTTAAACATGTTCATCTTTGGCTTTATTATGTTAGGCAAACATTGTCCTGTACAGAAAAACCAGCCCTTGTTTCTAGAGAGTTCTAGGTGTTCAGTCTTCTAGCAAATTATCTTTGTGTGTCCTTGGACATGCAGGAAGAACCCCAAACAAGAATGCATGAGTTTCAAAATTGCTCCCTTTGTTTCCAAGTAAGTGTGTCTGTTGCAAACACGGAGTTTGATCTGGTATATAAAATTTCCACCCATGCAACGCACAGACGATCTTTGTGGTTCTGCCCTTTGCTGTAAACCTCTGATTTCCCCTCCAAACTATTCCCAGGCGTCCCCCAGAAGCAGCATTCTGTGGGGCATTTTGTGCAGCAGCAGGTTGTGGGGAAGGTGAGGAGGTCCTGCTTCTGTGGATGGAAATTCTTCTGTCCACTATGTAGTCCAAAGACTACAATATACGTCTCCTTCTAATATTCTAGTGAACCGGAACCAAGAGTTTCTGTACCACAACATTTTATGTACATCTAGAAGAGCTGAACAAAAATATTCAAGCTTCATACCTGTAATGAAACTCAAGATACTGAATCTCAAGAATCCAATGAATGGCATCCAACTATAAAGCTGTGCTCCACAGAGTCTGACCATGGGTCCACCTCACCCAGTATTGCTTCCTTTTGACAGGCACTGGCCTGGCATAAGCTACCCAGGATTTATTAAATGGAGACGGAAATGACTGTGACAGTATGCATGTGTTCCACAACACATATATGGATACGTGCACTCATAGATATGAATACTTGCTCTCACATTTCAATCAGTGTCATCAATGTAACTAGTGAACTTTTTCTTTGGCCACAGGAAGCTCCAGAAAATAAGTGAAAGAGAACAGGGGAAATGGTATTTGAAGGAAGGGGCCACTGGTAGAATTGAAGGGTCCCACAATGACTAAATGGAAAACAAATGGACAGCGAATAAAAAAGTATGTCTTCACCAACGTATGGTTCTGCTAGTTTTATTAGCTCCCTAACAAGTCCATATATAAACACAAATCTACTTTGCTTCTGATATTTTCCAAACTCTAGTAATGGGTGCTTCTGAAATAATGTGATTTGCATCATTTCCTGTTTTTAATGAGATTTTAGGAGCCCACCAAGTGAATTAGTGATTTAATTCTGACCAACAAGCTTCTCCATTACATTAATACACCCCTGAGAGCATCTTCTGCTTAGATTTGCCACCATACCTGTTGAAGTTAATATCTGGATAGCTTGAATATTCTGATTTCATCTTGGCATTACGTCGTGGAAAAGTGCAGAAGAAGGCATTTGCAAGCAAACTAGCTGTCTGCTCTTGTGACATCGTGATGGAGTGGTTCATTTTTTGTTTCAGCAGAGGTATTGGCTAGCAAAAGGGCAGAAAGATGTAATTAGTTTAGCGATTCCATAAAAAAAAACCCCAACCAAACAAGGAGCACAAAATTACATTTACTAATTTAGAGAAGAAGTAATTTAGCGCCACTGGGAGGGGTTGTTAAATCAGCTGCACCATTAAAGTCAAGAGCTGTTTATCCAAGATGATTGGGAAGAGTCTTGTTTGATAAACTGCAGATTTCTAATCAATAACAAAAAAGAATGGCGAACAAAGCATCACTACCTCGAACAAAATAGAAGTGTCTATAGGAGGAACAGATGGAATACAAGCAACAGTGGAGTAAAAATGAAACATCAAGAGATTGCCAACAGCTGTATTTTGCAGTCTCGCTGTCATACAGATTAGAGAAAATGGGCAATTATTGCAATCACATCTTAACAGCTGCAAAACAAGAACGCATGGCAACACACCAAGCAATACCACTGTAAAAGAATAACTGAACAATTCCTGACTTTAATGCTTTCAAATATATAAGGGCACAGACAATTTAAAAAAACCCAAACTTCAACAAAATCCATAGGAAGTTTCACTGAAAAGAACACTATCGGTAATTTTATGAAGAGCTTCCAATACCTGGTGTTAACTTACTATCTTTATTTGTAAAAAGCATGCACTGAACATGAAATAACACAGGACTCCATCCAAGATTAAGCCTCTTTGTGCAGTTGCTTGAAAACGATTAAGGATCTATAAGCAAATCAGCATCGGACACGTTCACAGTTGCTGAAAAATCCTTGAGGTTTGTCTATACATTTGCCAATCTTTCTTATTTCATTCAGTGCTAAAGGATAGATTTCTGAATTCCTGAGTATTCAAGAAGTTTCCCTGGCTTCCATTAACGTTTAAACAGAGAAAATTTTTATCTGTGCATCTTATCCCACTCTTCCTCCAAGGGGTTATGTATCAATCGCTCTGCTTCCCCATTTTATCCTCACAACAATTCTGTGCGGGGCGTTTAAACAGAGAAAAATTTTATCTGTGCATTTTATCCCACTTTTCCTCCAAGGAGCTTGGGGTTATGTATCAATCGCTCTGCTTCCTCATTTTATCCTCACAACAATTCTGTGCGGGTTGGGAGTGTGTGGCTGGACAAGACCGCCTAGTGAGCTGAGTGGCAATGTGAACCCAGGTCCAGGTCCTATCTAACACTTCTAATTACTACACCCCAGTGTTTCCCCTTCCAACACAAGTCTTTATAGCCAAAGGGCAGTTTTGGGGATGCAGATTACCCTGGGTCAAAGGGCATCATCTACTCAAACGGCTTACATCAAACTGATCCAGAAATCTAGGATCTGGCTTGCAGAGTCATCTCTGCTGTGTGGACCATACATTCCGGGCATCATCTACTCAAACGGCTTGCATTAAACTGATCCAGAAATCTAGGGTCATCTCTGCTGTGTGGACCATACATTCCAACCAAAGACAAGCATTAAACACATGTCTAAGAGAAATGTAGGAGCTGCGGTGGCTCAAGTGGTTAAGACGCTGAACTGCAGGCTGTGGAAGGTCAGTAGTTCAGCAGTTCGAGACCCGGGTGCCACATGATGGAGTGAGCTCCCATCTCTAGTTCTAGCTCCTGCCAACCTAGCAGTTCAAAAGCAAGAAATTGCAAGTAGATAAATAGGTACCACTTCGGTGGGAAGGTAACAGCATTCCGTGCGCCTTGGCGTCTAGTCATGCCGGCCACATGACCACGGAAACATCTTCGGACAGTGCTGGCTCTTCGGCTTTGAAATGGAGATGAGCACCACAACCCTAGAGTCGGATTCGACTGGCTTTCGAGCAAGGGAAACCTTTTAACTTTACCTTTTAAGAGAAATGTAAAGATTTCAATCCTGCCAGTGAAAAGGATGCACAAGAACTTGCCCTAAGATTATACAGCACCCGAGTAAGCCTTTAGCACAATGCTGTGATGTGGTTTCCTCTACATGGCATCTGAAGACGTGAGCTCTGACTCATGAAAGCTCATGCTGGAATAAATGTTGATAGACTTTAAAGGTGCCCCTGGGCTTCAGTTTTATATATCTAAGGACCCATTCAGTTGCTCTAGAATTCTATCTGCAGAGTAGACGAGGCTGTGGCTCAATGCTTGAGCATCTGCTTGGCATGCAGAAGGTCCCAAGTTCAATTCCCAGCATCTCCACTTAAAGGATCTGGCAGTAGGTGGTTTGAAAGACCTCAGTCTGAGACCCTGGAATGGCGCTGCCCATCTGGATAGACAATATTAACTTTAATGGACCAAGGCTTGGACTCGGTAGTGACCTTTGGATGCAGGAGCAATTAGCGCAGGTCACCACCAGTCAGTGCAGTAGCACTGCTTCTGAAGGTCAGACCATGCATTCCAAAATCCTCCATAAAACCTGTTAACAGGTAACACATCTCTTGTGATGTACGTGCATTCACTGGCACAGGCCCCCCCCTACTTTCACAAATCAACGACCACTGAGAAAGGCCTTCCCATTTCTAGGGTGTACACAATGACGGCCTGGAAGATTTTTTAAAAATAGCTATTCTGTTTCACAAATCTGATTACTAATTTGATTGTTATACATGCTCCTGAAATGGCCTGCCCCTCCCTTAGTTGCAAGCAGCCCTGTATTAATCTTCACAGGACCATTTATTTATGATTTTATCATGTACGTTTTAAATCGTTAGCCACCTTTGGTGGCCCTTGCAAAGGCAGAAGGGTGGGATACAAATTCTGCAAATAAATAGCTCATAATGCTCAACAGGGTTGCCATCCTCCAGGTTGGGCCTGGGGATCTCCCAGAATTACAACTGATCTCCAGACTTCAGAGATCAGTTCCCTTAAAGAATATGGCTGCTTTGGAGGGTGCACTCCACGGTATTACACCCTGCTGAGGTGCCGCCCCTCCCCAAATCCTGCCCTCCCCAGACTCTACCTCCAAAACTCTAGGAATTTTTCAACTCAGAGTTGGCAACCCAAGCCCTTTACTTTTTAAAAATCTGCTCTAGCCAATCATCCATCCACCGATGTTCCCTCTAATTCCCCCCCCCTGTACTGAGCGGAGTGGTTCACACCCTGAGCAGAATATAACTGCTGTAATCTTAAAATGGGCCACGGACAGGGCGAGACCCCGTGTGGCTCCAGAGTGCTGCTGAGCGGGGGCTTCCTGTGTCAATGAGCGGCTGCTCACACGCACAGCTTAGAGGGAACACTGCTATCAACTCATGCTTTTGTTTTGCAAGGATAAATTGTTTCTATACTAATTAGATGAAAAGAACTTAAAAGAAGCCCTGTATTAAATTTTCCTAAGCTGCATTTTAGATAGAACATGCAAACTACCATAGTACATTTTAAAGGGCAGCTGCTACAAGTCCAAATAATGGTCTACAGGAATGTGTTCATTTATTTTTTATTCCCCTGAAAGCAGAAGACAGCATGGCAACAAAACTGCCTAAAATACACACTGCTTTTGCTACTATTATATTTAAAAATTTACTGCTGCCAGGAAAGTTTAAAAAACCCTAACATATTCTATTTAAGTCCATTTTCCTACTAATGTCTGCCAGCACAGAACTATGCATAATTTTATCACACGCCATTCTATTTTTTATTTTTGAGGGGGGGGGGGGGCTATGCCAAAAGGAAGGG